CCACTTCATTCATCAGTCCGATATCCGTAACGCCCCTCAACGACGCATTCTCGGCCTCCGAGCATAGCAGCTCGAACTGCGGCACCAAGCTTTCCCCTTGGAGCAATAAGTTCAACTCCGTGGGAACCTCGATGAAGCGAGATCGCCCCTCTGCGCGCACCACTGAATTGGTGAAGCCTTCCCGGAACATACGGATGTCGTCGGGGTCCAAGTCGGATTCGGACTCGTACTCATCTCCTACAGCATCCCCTCCTCCTTCCGCTACCAGCGAGGTAGAACCACCCGCAATAGCCACCGTAGGAGCGCTTGCCTCACCCACATTAGCAGCCGCTGAGGAACTACCTCCCGTCTCAGCGACTGGAACCACCAATTGAGTCGCCAAAGCGACGGTATCATCACGACCTAAGCCAACCGGGGCAACCCCCATTGTTTGTCCGCCCTCAAGGGCAGGCGCCGCAGCCGCACTCCTCTCCGCATCCGCTGGGGGGGAGTCCAAATTAATTACCACAGGAGGAGCCGGCGTGAACACGACCCTACGCCTTATCAACGGCCTCTCCTCCTCCCCATCTGATGACGATTCCGCTCTAGGGCGCACAACCCCCGATGGCCCCTCGTCCCGAAGTAGGGTCCGTGCTGGAGAAGGAACCGCTGAAGATTCAACTGATGCCGCCCTCGGTATTGGGCGCGACACCGGCGCTGCAGTAAGCCGAGCAATTGCACCAGGCCGACGGAAGGCCAACTGAGGGGCCCTGACGCGGCGTGCCCTCCCTGATCACAGGAAAACAAAGTTGATGAATGGAGTTGAAACAAGGCGGAACAGAAGAAGAAATCAATTTTTTTCCTGCCACAGGCCTACGGCCATGCCTCTCCCAAAAAGACGCCCATGTGCGTATCCCCACCGTATGGGGGAGTACGGCCTCGACCCACTCACGTATCCAAGACAATGGGGCCGGCAGCGACCTGTCGGCTACAAAAAACGACACGAGTTAACGCTCATGATCACAAATCATAAAGAGGGGAAGAAAAGGGAATTCAACCACTAAAGAACTTACGTGCATGGTTCCAAGCCTCTGGGAACCCAG